ATTGCTATTTAAAATATTTTACAACATGAAGACAATAAAAAAGTTTTTAGCAAAGCCTTTCCTATATTTCCAAATGATGACATGAATCAAGTTCTTCTTGATTGTATTTATTCAGCAAATCTATGCTATCATGACGGCATTTTATGAAATGCTAAACCCTCTGGAAAACTTTCCTGTTTTGTGCCACAGATGGTCAAATCCGGAAGGTCCTGTAAGGTTAGACTGCAGGCCATGCACGGTGTGGGTCGATGCATCTGTGTTTGTCAGCGAGTATTTGTGAAAGGCAGCTACCTGAGATGAGATTAGGGCAGTGCAGTGATTAAGAGCTGCTGTGTTAATGTAGACGCCCGTGTTGCTGTAATCTCCTGAGCACAAACTGCCGGCAGCGAAGCCCCGGGACACACAAACACAGGCACACATTCACACACACAAAGACAAACATACAGTAGTGTTAAGGAAGTAGGTACACCTTCTAAATCCTGATTTCCTCTGAGAAGCACTTCTTTTGGTGCAGGTTATTTATTTATTTTTCCTTTAAAACATTATTTGCTTTAAGGAAAGCAGCCTTAAACTAAACAACCAATATGAAAGAAGTACACCTTTCCCCCTTTTCCTGATACCCAAAAAAATCTATAATCTGAAAGTGGAAATAGTTTGGAACAAGTGAAAACATACCAAGACGTGGATGTTGTTCAAACCGAGAGGTCAGGTAAGGAGAGCTGCAGATGCAGCTCAGGTGAGAGTATGTTAAAAGCAAAATTATTTGTGATACACTCCATAATTAGTGGTCAGCAGAAAGCTTTTGCTGAAAAAATTTGCAACAATTCTCTCTCTATCATAAAAGAAGGTTCTCTTTTCAGATTTAAACTGAAACCAACCATAAATACAAAACTGGCAGCACCATGAACGCTCAGTGAAACATAGTGGGGGCAGCATCATCCTGCGGAGAGGCAACAGAGATGGGTAAGTTTGTTCAAAAATGTTGGAAGATTGATCATACGGCTTGAACTAAATTAAAATGATTTAAATTAAAGCATGTGGTAAAACGGTCCAATCAAACTTCAAATCACAATCTAGTGGAGAATCTGTGGCAAAACTTTATGATTGATGTTCACAGATGCTCTGGAATAAACCTGACTGAGAATGGGAGAAACATCCATGTCTCTCATGTGTTTTTTTTAAAACTGTTGATACATGGGAGCTGAATATAAATATTAAACACTCTTTTCCAAGTTCAACTGAAAAAAACAAAACAAAAACAAAACCGTATATAATTTGTAGTTTGTGTCGGTCTGACAAATAAGATTACAGTTTTGGAAATAAAAGGAAGATGTGCTGAAAAAAGTAAAAGAACTGAATATGTGCTTTTAGAAAGATAAAATGGTTGTAATAATTGACAGATATATTAAAATAAATACATTGAAAACAAAATTTGTTTATCTTATCCTCACTGTGAGTTATTACTAGTCGATCCTCGTCATGAATTGGCCCAGATTGGGTAGCTGTACGGGGATAATATCATGGCTGAAGGTGGGGGGTCTGTAAATGGCAGGTGACCCCCACACCCCACCCCACCCACTTTGCTTAAAGCCCCGGGGGATCGAGGCCTGAGCCTGTCGTTATGCACCCATTAGCTGTAACAACAGCGAGGATAAACCTGCCTCTCAGCTGTAGACTGATTTTAAACACATTCAAGCCAATTACAGCAGAATCTGCAGCACACCCTGAGGAAGAATAAAGTCCATTTAGGGAAGTCAAATCACATCAGAACATCTATTACAGATTTAATCAAGAAGGTATGCTTTAATTAAAAAAAACACAAAAACACAACCAAACAATAACAGCTTGTTTGTAAAGCACTGCTTTTTTCCAGCTAAAGGATATAAATATTTAAAGATACTGTTCTTTTAAGAATTGACACTATTTAACCTGAGAGAATACTTTAAAACCCTCAGCATGAACAAAGCACATAAACATATACACCTCTGGAACATATTTCCTCTGAAGTGCTAAAAATGGATCTCTGGGTCAGGGTGATTGACCCCTGTGAGAAGAAGCTCTTCCTTTTGAAATAGGGGGAAAATCTCTATTTATAAAGCGAGTGCTCTTATGTGATTATAAATACACTGACTTATCCCTCAAGGTTTGGTCTGATGGCGTAAAGATTTTTCCCTGATAAGTTTGATTGATGTCAAAGCAACGTGCAGGCTTTAGTGGGTAAATATATCGCAGCCGTTCAGGAATACCCACGGAAATAAATCCTGATGTCACCGCCGCGTTAATAAGCACAACTGTGGAATAGACGAGGTTAACTTTATCTCTGTAAAGGTGTAGTCAACTTTGGTTGTTTTTTTTTTTTTTTTAATGACCCCCTGGAGCATTAATCAGATGAGACCAAATCATCTACAGGCAGGATATCCGCAGAATAAAACGCACTCTCTTGCTGGGAAAACAAGGCGCCGTGTGTAAAGCAGACATTGGGATTACCTCCATTCCCTGTAGGCCAGGAAGCCAGGTCACAGGAACTCTGTCCGCTGCCCGGCTTCCAGATGAGTAACTGTAGCTTTATGTGGAAGTGAATAAGTAAAATAAAGCAGCTGAATGAAGTGTCAGGGTTAATGCGTCTCAACATGCCTTGGTTGATATGAGATTCTTTTTTTTATTTCAGAAGATGAACCAAAAATGCCTGGCCTTAAATCAACACCAAGACCCCCCAGATCACTTAGCCTAAACAACAATATTGAAATATCTATTTGGTGTATGAATGATGGCTAAACGTAGTCATTGGCAATAACGGCAGGAATATATTTTTTTTGTTTGGCTGCATAGAGGCTTAGGCCAACCCTGGGGTAGAGAGAGAGCTGCACCATGCCTCACACTCTGCTACGTCATCCTGGCAATATAGCATCATGGAATAGAATACCAATGAGAACATTACGGTATTAATACAATAATTTTCACAAATATTTATAAGCAACCAGAATCTTATGCCTTTTATTAAAATAAAAAAAAACAACAATAAAATATTCAAACTATGTTTGCAGATTTTATATAAGATATACTGAGTATCCATTTATTTTGTTTGTTTTTGCAATAGAAAAATGTGTCACTAATGTTGTAAATGAGGAGCAAATCAAACCAGAATTATTAGTAAACCTTGCAGGTACTTGGCTCCCCAAGAAAGACTAAAAAGAGTGTTCACATCAGGAAAGTCCACTGGTCTTCTTTTTGGTCTGGACCAAAGGCAGTTGGCATTTTATTTTTGTTTTCTGCTGGTTTGCTTTCGCATTGCACTTTTTGTAAGCGAACTGTAGCTTGTTAAGAAAGCTACATGTGTAATGAACATTGCTCCCCTTGGAGATAAATGATTAGGAGCACCGAGGGTGGATCAGCTATGGCTGCCATATACTGACAAAGACTACAGACCTGGAAGGCTCATTATATCCTAAAAGTTGTATGTTTACTGTATTTGGGTCAGATTAAAGCCGGTTCATATTTACACCAAAAATTAAACAAATCAGAGTCAATTTGGAAGATGAGCAAAGCCAAATAAAAAAAAAAATGTTCTGTACATTTGTTTCAACCAGTGTGTATCACCAGGCTGTGTTAAGTGTATTAGCACCTCCACAAAAGGTCTGGACAAGAGGAATGACATTCAATTTTCACCGCAAAATTATTACATGAATTGTTGACAACTGCACCAGTTGAAAAACAAAAAAAGATGCCTCTTGACAAATTAGAAAGTTCTCAAAAAGGAATCGGCTTCAACAATTCACCTTCAAAAAAGCAACAAGCATTAATTCATGACATAGTGACGTAATACTCAAGGGCACATGATAATATTTTTTGAGTCTTCATTTCAGGTTATTAAAATCATAATGAGTTACAGCCTGTATCCTAAACAAAATCTTCACCCAAAATGATCAATTTTTTTTAACAGTTTTGTTCTTTCACAGTTTTCCCTCCACCTAGCTTTCTAGCAGTATCTCTATGAAATATATTATATTTTGAGTCTAAAAGAAAAATTATGTTTATGTAGAAATGTCAGCTTACTGAACAGTATATCATTATAATTTACAGCATATAATGATTATTTGATCCTGCCACCTCTTGCATGAATTATCACATCAATATGGCACAGCATCCAATTAATCTGCCTGTGGCACTGTTGAGATGTTGAGGAGGTTCAAGTTTTCTTGGTTCAATATTTCCCCATTTCCTCTTAGCAGTAACTCATGATGCTCTAATGATTGTGGGTCTGGTTAGTTAGCTGGGCAGTCAAGCATATTTAACCAAACAGGGGCGCTTTTGGAAAAGTGGGTAAATGCCGAGTTTTTTTTATTTGAAATTAAACAAGTAAAATTATGCTCACTTTTTCCTTCCACCCAACTTTCCATTATTATTATCTGATAATACTTGTCTATTCTAAGTTACTTTCTTTGCAGATTATTGAAATAATTTCAGTACAATTATCAGCTGTCTTTAAAATTATTTCTGTATTAAAATTGTGTTATTTAGCTCTTATGTAATGTCCTACATATCAGAGAAACCCCGTGATGAGTTTATATGTGTGGTAATTCATAATCTTCAAAATCCACAGAAAGAAATTAAAGCAAAACTTTTGCTTTGGTTTTTAAGAATTTAATAAATGAGTTTCAGAATTGTGATCTGATTGTCAAACATTAGAATGCATCAGGAAGGGAAAAATGTTGCAGCCGTTTTTTAGCCAGCTGACTGGCAGTTTGCAGCAACACTTGGGAGTGGGGACGCCAGGGAGTATTTAAACTGTACGTTTGAAAAGTTACAATTTTAAAACTTTTTAAATCTATGGTTAATTAGTAGCTTTAGTATAAGAAAAGGCAAAATTATTTGTGGAGTAAACAAGCATAATTTTTATGTCCTCCTCTACATGCAAGCTTTAGACAATGTCACAGATTTATAACAAATACGAACAATGGAAGGTATTTTTGCAGCCATTTATTTCCTAAAAGTGCAAAAGTATAAAAAAAACAACTCAGTATATACATACATTTAAAAATAGTGACTGTACAATATTTATAAACAAATTATCCCTGCAAGAGAACAAGAGAAATGTTGAAACCAGTGTTAAGATTAAAATATTTCATGGCTTTTAAACAGTTTTTTTTATGCAAATACAGTACAAAATTCTAGGAGCTTCATTGTGCCAGGAGTAAAAAATAAAAAATACAATATTTCTATTTATTTTTTCTGTAAAGTTCTAAGATCAGGTTGTGTGTCCTTTGCAGCAAGAGAAGGTTAGGAGCTGTTGTAGCTGCAGTAATACACGGCCGTGCTGGCGTCTGATAGCACAGAGGAAATGAGGCTCTCGGGTCCCTGCATGCCGGTCTCATGCGGCCCGTACGGCATGCCCGTCATGTCCGTGCGGGCCGCTGAAGAGCTCAGGTACTGCTCAAACTCACTGCGGTCTACCTCAGCCAGCAGGTCCGAGTGGTGCATCTGATCCATGCTGTCCGCTGAATGAGAGTGGGAATCAGGGGGTGGGGAGAGCTGTCCTGCCCCGCCAGGGTGCCTTTTAGGCTGACTGGGGCTGCAGTGCTGGGTGTAGTACATGGCCAAAGGGTTTGGGCAGCTCATGTAGGCGGGAGGGGGCTGCTCTGAAGCTGAGCCTGGGTGGCGGTGCAGGATGGCTGGGCTGCTCTGGTGGCTGGAGAGGGGTTCATGAGGTTGAAAGTCAGCCACCTGAGAGTGGTAAGGGTATGCCGGCATCATGTGACAATCCTCCTGAGAATGTTGGGGGAAGAACATGGAGTCTGACTCTACGGCGTCCAGAGGTGACGTATCAGGCGTGGGGAGGCTGTAAGGTTCGTAAGAGGGGCCCCCAAGCACCTGAGTGTCCCTGTAGTGGCTCAGGGGCTGCGGAGGAACCTGGAAGCCATGCTCATGGTAACCCAGGCCAAGGGTATCCATGCATACCCTGCCGTCCCTGGGCATCGATTGGGCCTGGTGATCAGGCACACCGTGGACCAGAAATCCTGAGTCCAGCCTCTTGATCCTCTTTACCTGCTTCCGTCGTCTGGGCCTGTACTTGTAGTTGGGATGGTCCTGCATGTGCTGGACCCGCAGCCGCTCAGCCTCCTCCACAAAGGGCTGCTTTTCTGTAATAGGAAGAGCTTTCCAGGATTTCCCTGCAGGTCAAGAGGAGAAGAACGCATCACTGATATGTCAGCAGATAAATTACATGGCTCTGCTGATGCACATAAAAATAGCCTGTTGCCATTTTAGGGGGAATAGGGATGGGATTTTGAGCTTATACCTGTGTCTTAAATGACACAAAAATTTAAAAACACATCAGTGACATTTCAAAATACAACACCCACACAGTCTTATAGTTTAGTTTGTTAACGATAAGAGAGCGTGTTTCCAACAAGTCTCATAATATATTTCACAATATTCTATTTATTCTAACATTCTTTATTAATTTCCCTGTATTATTTTAGTAGATCTATGACCAAATGACATTTCTTTAATGCTAAGGCTTTAAATTTATCAGGATCTTTTTTCGTAAAGTCTATTTAGAAGAGTTTTGAAAATAAATATTTCATTAAAAACAAGCAATAGTGGGATTTTATTTTTATTCAGACCTCGTACCCTGGAACATTTTAACCTTTTATAAGATCTATAGCTCAAAGAGATGGAACTGAACCAAAAAAACAACTTAGATTGAGCTTTTTTTTGCTGTACCCTCTACAAGGTTATAGGACCCTCTACCCCCCCATACACACACACCCAACCCCACTAAGTAAACCGACTTAAATTAGTTTAGAGTGATCAAATTATGTGATTTTGTTTAATTCAATAAAACAAAAATTTATAATATATGTTTTAAGTTTCCAAAGTTTGATATTAGAGGAAATGTAAAGTCTAAATAATTTGTCACTAATAAGGTTTTATTTAAATAGATAAATAAATTGCACTAACCTAACATTTTGCTGAGCTCCGCGTTGTGCAGGTCCGGGTTCTGCTGCGCCAGCCTCTTGCGCTCATCCTTGGCCCAGACCATGAAGGCGTTCATCGGCCGCCGGATCCGCGGCTCGCTCTTACCGCGTCCCTGACCGCCGGAGCCTCCGCCGGACGCGCACGTTTCATTTTTCACCTTGCTGTCCCCGAGAGGACTGAGCGGGTCGGCCCACTGGCAGTGTCCCATTCCAGGCATCATGACTGACATCGCGCACCTTGCCTGGGTCTGATCGTCACTGGCGTAACCCGCATCGGGACTACTCATTTCTGTCCAAACTGGTTCTGGAGGGTTTTTGGAGAGGCGCCCGGACAGCGCGCACGGCAAAGATACACCAACGAGATCAAACTGGGGAAAAAAATGATTACAAAAAATAAAGGCTTTGACCCTCTGAGAGTAAAGTTGGAAAGGAAAAAGTCAAATCCAGATGCAGCAAGAAGTGATAAGTTGGAGAGAAGTCAGCAGTGAAAATGAACCGTGGTGCGCTATAACCCCACAGGCAGCCAATCACCAGGAGGAGGGAGGGCCCACTACTGCAAAGGTGTAAAAAAATCTCATCAGCCCGCCTCCTACCCTTTTTGGAGCTGCAAAGCTCAGTGAAGGAACAGGCTGCCAGATTTTAAATCAAATAGAAGTATCCATTATTACCCAACAGGGTGGATATTGAGATGTATCCATGACTTGTACTCAGCAAGTCTTTAGGACTTAATTAGGAATCAAACACAAGATGATCCACTTTTGCATCAAACTGAGGGGAAACTCCCCCCCTATAAAGACACTTTTCCAGTTTAAATATGCAAGACACATTAAGAAACCAACTGAGCTAATTAGCAGTCTGTGTATTGGCATGTTAACCACATTAGAGGCTTGAATCAATTGACCCAGAGGAATAAGACAGCTCTGTAGCTGCATTATACCAATGGTAAACCCTATCCCTATAAAATAAGTGGAAACTTTTACTTTAACACCTTTAAGCCTTAGATTGTAGCTGTCCTGACCATGAGGAAGTAATATGTGGACAGAGGCTGAGTGATGCTTTTGGCCTTTCTATCCAAAGCTCTGGTTTCCAGATTGGATAGGGGGGGCGTCCTAAACATAGACATCATTTACCTAACCTCCAGAAAGAGGGAGTTTTCAAAGGGCAGATGGATGAAATATCACTTTAAGCATGATGTTAATGAATGATTAGCATTATAACATACCGGTAGTTAAAAGGGCTAAAAGTTGATTTTGCCTACCAAAGGCCATTTAATGCTTGTTTTATAAATATTACTTTAGCTTGGGGCACACAGGTCTTTCAGGCATCCCCAAATAGCTTTATTTCAATTGAAAAAGAAGCTAAGATAAAGTTATTTAGGACAAATCACAGCATATGACATGGCTGATAAATTGTATAACTCGTGCCATTTGAAATATCAATGCAATGTTCATAAGCTGTATGTAACGCAATTTCGTTCTGTATGCACTCTGTGCATACAAAATGACAAATAAAGAAGTCTAAGTCTAAGTCTAAAATGACTATTTTTTTCACTTAAAAAAAGGGAGACAAACTGACAGTTCTGCTCGGTTTTTGGGGGGAATTAATGGCATCACAAGATCCACAAGAATCAAGCTGATAATAACCTCTATACCAGACAGGCAACCTTTTACACATTTTGACTGCTAAATTTGAATATACATTTTTTTGCAAGGCTATTAAATTGACTTTGTGACCCCTCTCGCTGACATGACTGCTGCTGCAAAGAGTGAAACAAATGGCAACAATAGCTGTAATGCCATTGACAAGCAAATTGTAATCACAAAAATAACTTTGCTTGATTGAAAAAAGAAAAAATAGATAATTTTTTAAAAAGTAAAACTTTTTAGGAGCAGTGCCTCCAAATCTGAGACCATGGTCTGGAGCCGGTAAAGAGTTGCGTGCCTTCTAAGGGTTGGGGAGGATGTACTGCCCCCAGTGGAGGAGTTTAAGTATCTTGGGGTCTTGATCACGAATGAGGGGATGATGGAGCGGGAGGAGACGTGGATTTCTGTGAAGCGTACATTATACCGGCCTGTTGTGGTGTAGAGAGAGCTGAGCCAAAAGGCAAAGCTCTCGATTGACCGGTTGATCTACGTTCCTACCCTCATCTATGGTCATGAGCTTTGGGTCATGACTGAAAGAAAGAGATCCCTCATAAAAGCGGCTGAAATGAGTTTTTTCTGTAGTGTCTCTGGGTTCTCCCTTAGAGATAGGGTGAGGAGCTCAGTCATCAGGGGAGGACTTAGAGTAGAGCCGCTGCTCCTCCACATCGAGAGGAGCCAGTTGAGGTGGCTCGGACATCTGGTTAGGATGCCCCCAAGATGCCTCCCTGGTGAGGTGTTTCAGGCACGTCCCACCAGGAGGAGACCTAGAGGGAGACCCGGGACACACTGGATGGACTAGGTTTTTGACTGGCCTGGGAACACCTCGGGATTCCCCTGGAGGAGCTGGCCCAACTGGCTGGGGAGAGGGACGTCTGGGCCTCCCTACTGAAGCTGTTACCCTGGCGACCTGACACTGAATAAGTGGAAGAGGATGGATGGATGAACTTAAGGAACTAAGATGAGGATGTTTTTTCCTTCATATTGAAATTGGTATATTTCTCAAAACTGTATGGAAACACCTTTTTTAGCATTACACAAGTTATGTTATCAACAACAGGCTGCACGGTAGTGCAGTGGATAGCACTGTTGCCTTGCAGCAAGAAAGTTCTGTGTCCATTTTGTTGGACTTAAACAAAATATTCCACAGTTTGTTTAGGCTTCTTCAAAACCTCCACTTTGTTCCCTTTGAGCCATAGTCTGCAGCCCCAGACATCACACCTCCAACACCATGTTTGACTGTGTATGTCATAGTCGATTTCATTAACAGTCAGTCCATGAAAGCTACTGATTTGTATTTTCTACATTGGTGAATAAATAGTGGATCCTTATGAGTTATATGGTTAGGATTAATCCCAAATGCCTTGTTTCCCTCTCCATTATTATCAGTGACTTTGTTTCTGGTTTATTTTAAATGTATTGCATTTAGGTTTTTTAAAAGTCTACTTTGTGTAGTTGGGCGGGTTCACGTCTTCACATCTGTTTTCATTCAGATTATTTTTGTTCTACATTAAAATGAGTTTCATGATCTGAATAATTTAAAAATAAGTCTTAATAAGGAAACCAAAAGAGTTCAATCTCTAAGAGTGTTCTTATACCCTTTCTGATCACTGCAGTGGTTATTCATTCCCCACAGCCACTTTCAAAACGGACAGAATTTGAAACAAAGAATGAAATTCTGCTCAACAGACACTTAAGTGCAACTGGGTTAGTGCAATTAAATTTAGCTAAGCTTCAAAATTGAACTAACAATAAGCAGTCAGGCCTACAATACTTAGGATTATAATAAATGCAGTTTCTGGTATATTCTATTAATTTATCAGCAGTATCCATTTGGAATAAAAACAATTAAGCCATTTTCTACTTTTTTTGTTAATGTGTGCTATTTTCATTTAAGGTTATCATAGCAGGAGAATCTCATAGCCAGCAATACCTGTTTATTGTTTCCTATTGTTTCCCCTGTATTTGTTCTGAATGTTTCATTAGGTTAGGATTAATGAAGGAAAGCTTTTATTATGCTTCTCTTTTAAATTCCAAGATGATCTAAGCCATAAGTAAAACACTTTTTTACCTTCAGTTGCACATGCTGATACCTAAACTGTGACTGTTAGTCTAAAGCCCAAAACTCCTGTTAGTCTAAAGCACCTTCCCTACGCTAAGATAACACCAAAAGCGTAGGGCAACCTGTTGCACCTGAAATGTCTAGACTTGGAGCTATTTATGCTGCAGAGAATGAAGAGCTTGTTCGCGGGCAGAAATCCAAACATCACCCACAGGCAGTCGAGCTTCTTATCAGGGCCTGCAGACCCGGACCTGTCAGCTTCATCTTTTCTCGGACCATTCCCATCTTGTTGTGGTCTGCAGTCGTGTCAAAAGGGGCTGACAGAAATATGAGAGATGCTTATGCAACCTTTGCGTGCCCCCCAAGCAGACAACAGCATGGGACTCCGGAGTATTCCCTCTAGGGGTTAGTGGGAGGGTGTTTTTAACCAACAGAGGTCCCGATAGGCGTTGAATGGGACAGGATCTTGACCATAATGCTGTCATCATCTATTTTATCACTCGTGACCTGATACGGTTTCCCCCCTTCGCTCTTAAGAGAGAAGAGAAAGAGGGACCCCTTTGTGTGTGTCTCTGCGTGTGTTGACATGGGCGTGGGTATGAGTGTGCCCCGGCCTCTTCTTGCTCCGCGTGGGAGTGAAAAATCCTGGCGTATGATGGGAAAAGTCATAAAGTCTGGAGTCGAAGCCGAGCTTCCGCTGCAAGGTGAGGTTTAGACTCCAGCCAAAGGAGGGGAGGAATCAGTGAGAGGCGCTGGGGGTGACGAGAGGTGACACGCCTCAGATTTCTGCTCCTCTTCCCTCCATTCCTCCCCCTTCGGCCAACTTGTACCTCCACCAAGTCCCCCACCCCGTGCCTGGGGAGTCTGGGGCTGGGTGGGGGCCAGGGCTCCCGACGCCAGCCTCTGGACTCCGCGCTGAGGGAGAGGTCACTTGGCTTGCTTACACAATGGCATTATCTCAGTTCCAGCCTCGGCTACTGCAGCGGTGAGCACTTCCTGTCACTCTGCAAGCACTTCCTGTCCTTGGCGCAGCAGCACAAATTGTGCGCCTTCCAAGCGAGTTCTGAAACATAAGTTGAGCGGCCGGTCGCCAGTCCTGCTGTATAAATGTCTGTGGGTGGCTTTCTTGGGAATTGCTGGCTCCTTTGTGCTGGGCTGCAGAGGAGGAGCAGTGTTAGTTTAAATCATAGCAACGGAAAGTGTATATATGTTAGCACTCTGCGCCAATCCCCTGAGCTGCTCCAGTTGGACAAAGACCCAGAGTTCAAACAGTGCTCAGCTCATTAGCGGCACACACAGAAGATCATGTTGCTTTATAAGAGGATCAGGCATTTAATTAATATCATGTTGACAATTTGGTAAAAAATCAAATCTATTTACTAGTCCCAAATGATAAAGTGTACGTTATTTGCAGTCAGCATCTAAAGCATGCACAGCCCTCTTTTAATGTCAGGCTCTTTGGGAAATGTACAAAATAAGACAGTCATAAATCATTTAATCATTTTTTTCAGTATTTTATGTCACATTCATCCTTCAGAACAAATTTCCCAATCTACTCAGCAAAGTTCTCCAGACTAAGGCTAAGTTTAGTTCTGGTCTCATTCTAAAAGTATCATTAATCCTTTAACAATGTCATCATTTAGCTGATTCAGAAGTAGGGTTGGACTCACTCCGTCCTCAACTCTTTGGCAAACATCTTAAGTTTTCTTAACTTATCAAAATTTGAATGAAAACATCTGGCTTGAGGGGTTT